TTGGTTATTTTCATGAATATTATTATAGATAGAGATAAACTGTAAACAGCAATAATGTTCAGCCGAGTAAGATCTACAAATAAGTCAACATGACCAAAACTGTCAATTGACCCCCTAAGGAGTTATCGCCCTTCAAAGTAAATTTTTAACAAATTTTTGTAAATTTTTGTAATCTTTTACAAAAATCTTCCCCTCTGAAACTGCTGAGACGAATTTAACCAAACTTGGCCACAATTATCATTAGGGTATCTAGTTTTAAAAAAAGTGTCCGATGACCCCGCCTACCAACCAACATGGCCGACATGGCTTAAAAAAGAACATAGGGATGAAATGCAGTTTTTGTCGAGCCAGCGACTTTTGTCGCAGAAAGCTCGACATAGGGATAGCGATCCGGCGGCGGCGGCTACGGCGGCGGCGGCGGCGTTAGCTAACTTCTTAAAAGCTTTATATTTTAGAAGATGGAAGACCTGGATGCTTCATACTTTGTATATGGATGCCTCATGTTACGAAGTTTCCGTCAGTCACATGTCCAATGTCCTTGACCTCATTTTCATGGTTCAGTGACTACTTGAAAAAAAAGTTAAGATTTTTTGTAATGTTAAATTCTCTCTTATTATAAGTAATACGATAACTATATTTGGTATGTGCGTACCTTGCAAGGTCCTCATGCCCGTCAGACAGTTTTCACTTCACCTCGACCTCATTTCATGGATCAGTGAACAAGGTTAAGTTTTCGTGGTCAAGTCCATATCTCAGATACTATAAGCAATAGGTCTAGTATATTCGGTGTATGGAAGGACTGTAAGGTGTACATGTCCAACTGGCAGGTGTCATCTGACCTTGACCTCATTTTCATGGTTCAGTGGTTATAGTTAAGTTTTTGTGTTTCGGTCTGTTTTTCTTATACTGTATGCAATAGGTCTACTATATTTGGTGTATGGAATGATTGTAAGGTGTACATGTCTAGCTGGCAGGTGTCATCTGACCTTGACCTCATTTTCATGGTTCAGTGGTCAAAGTTAAGTTTTTGAGTTTTGGTCTTTTTTTCTAATACTGCATGCAATAGGTCAGCTATATTTGGTGTATGGAATGATTGTAAGGTGTACATGTCTAGCTGGCAGGTGTCATCTTACCTTGACCTCATTTTCATAGTTCAGTGGTCAAAGTTAAGTTTTTGAGTTTTGGTCTTTTTTTCTAATACTATATGCAATAATTCAACTATATTTGGTGTATGGAAATATTTTATGATCTATATGTCAGTCACGCAGGTTTTATTTGACCTTGACCTCATTTTCAAGGTTCATTGCTCAGTGTTAATTTTTTGTGTTTTCGTCTGTTTTTCTTAAACTATAAGCAATAGGTCAACTATATTTGTTGTATGGAAGAATTGTTAGCTGTACATGCCTGCCTAGCATGGTTCATCTGACCTTGACCTCATTTTCATGGTTCATTGGTCAATGTTTAGTTTACTTGGTTAATGTTAAGTTTATGTGACAGTTGTAATAAAGCTTTATATTTAGGACTATCAACATAATATCAATGATTAGTAAAGAAAGCGAGACATTTCAGCGTGTGCACTCTTGTTGGCTTATATCTCAGAAACTAAAGCATAAGTATAATGATTGCATTATTTCAAGCATCAATTGTAAACAAAAATAGCAGGTGAGCGGCACAGGCTCCTTGGAGCCTCTAGTTTACTACAAGCAGTTGAAGCCAATACAATTTATAAATCGTATATTCGTACTAGTATGCTATAGCTTCCAATAGGTGCATTCTTCATTGTGTAAATATTATAATTTTAACATTACACAAATAAAAGTTCTGATTCAATCGTTCAGTTACAGCTTGTCACATTCTTTATCACATTGGAAACTGAACACTTGCATATACCAAAATAATAAGAAATTACCCTCATAGATTCATGTTTGCTAGATAACACAGAAAAATTAAAAGTTGTTTGCTGGTAGTATTGGCATTGTGCCATCACAGCCTTGTGTCGAGATCAGCTTGTAAAATCAAGAGAAGTTCTTTGAAAGTAGTTTTTTTATGCCCCACGTAGGGGCATGATATTTTTCGGACTGTGCGTCCGTTCATTCATCCGTCTGTCCTGCTTCAGGTTAAAGTTTTTGGTCAAGGTAGTTTTTGTTGGAGTTGAAGTCCAATCAACTTGACACTTAGTACACATGTTTCCTATGATATGACCTTTTTAATTTTAATGCCAGATTAGATTGATTGATTGATTGTTGGTTGCTTAACGTCCAGTGGCAAATATTTCATGCATATTCAGGACAAGAACAAATTAACAATAAATACAATAGGTAGGTTCTGTAATAGGGGCGTCCGGGATTAAGGTCGGAGAAATTTAGACTGCCTCGGGAAATGAGGGTATATTGGATAGGGACAGAAATTTAGCCTTGCAACAGGTCACCTATGGACCCCTCAAAGAGTTGTTGCAAGGGTTCTTAACGTGCAAAGAGCGTGCCACTCTCTTTACACGAGGCATCGGATTTAACGTCCCCATTCTGACCGGACGTGGCTGCAAATTTGTACATCCCGCACAGCCAAACGGACGCCCCACTTTAGCAAGGGTTTTACTGCCGATTGGAGGAAGACCAATGGTGACCATACTTCTATTCCCCAGTCACCCTTTGGGGGGGGGGGGCCAGATTAGAGTTTTGACCCCAATTTCACAGTCCACTGAACAAAGAAAATGATAGTGCGAGTGGGGTATCCGTGTTCTATGGACACATTCTTGTTCGATACATAAATCTGTGTTGAAGTCATCATGAGTATAGTTCTTAACAACACTTTTAGCATACCACGTTTCTCTCTTTTCATACAAAAAGGTGAGCATATCACCCCTGTTTAGTATCTGTGTCATTGATATTTGCCGAAAACATTGGTATGCATTTTGTATTGGGAATAACATAAATTATATCCCCACCATACATGCCATATTGGAATTAACTCTTTAGTAGAGTTTATAATTTGTGTGAAAGGCTACCCGAATACTTACTCGATTAAATACACTGGTTTGCAGACATCATAATAATATCATACGGTCTGCACTTTTCTTACTATATTAGGGTTAACGTCTTATTTGATCCAATTTGACAATGTTGATCAAATAGAACATAAAGACAAACAGCAAGTTTTAAAACTTATATTTCTAAAATCATAATTGAGAACATCTGACAGGGACAAAATGATCAGAAGTCCAAAATATACTGATCAAATAAACTTTGTAGGAGTATTGTCTTAAATGATGGTATTTCACTTAGTCTGTTTATGTAAACTACTGTTAATGCAGAAATTATTGCGTGCATTTGTTATTGTGATTTTGACATGATAGACCAAAATGTGAGAATATTTTTTGGGGATAACAGGAAAAGCTGCATACAAATATATGTGTCAGATTTCAGAGTGCGAGATCTTATTAATTTGGTACTCACCTAGTCATATTATTCATAATAAGTTCTGAATTTACAGTAATACAATAATCACCAGAACTTGTTTCATATGACTTGAACGCATAGCATGATTGTATGTTTTGTAGATACATTGTATAACAAAAATGCTTTAAATGACAGAGACGACTCAATTATTCAAGTAAAGCCTCTATACACTTTTCTTCTTTAACTTATTAAAAAAAACCCAGAAAAACAATAATTTTGCAATTTATTGTCCTTCAATGATGCCTTTTTGCAACTGGATCGATATGTTATGTAAACAAGCGTAGATGTTATTAAATGAACAACACATGCAACACAAAAAATAATTTGACAAGGAACAATGCACTTTCAGTTTGAAATTAAAATCAAATTAAGTCAAGAACTTCAGTTTGAGCTATTACTACATTTACTGAATTATTGTTCTTTACTTCCTTTGTACTTTTTCATTTCTGCTGGATCTGAACTCGAGTTGCAAGGTTATCAATCTGAGATGAATTATCTCAATAGCTGAACTAGACTAAAATTTGTTTTGAAAAATCTAATACATAATGTACTACAGTTACACTTTCTTTTGCAGATATATTATTAAAAAAAACAAAATAATAAAGATCATTTGTTTAACAATTTCAGTAGAAACACCAGAAGGCGTATTTACTTCATATTTGTTATATATATTCATTGCAACAACAAAAATGAAAACAACATGTTATTTATTTCATGTGTCCGAAGCGCTTTTCTTGATTTACCTTCATCAGGAACGTTCAAAGCCGAATATTTTAAAGCCAAGAATGTATAAGAACCAAAACAATTGAAGAGCTATATAACCAAAAAGTACCTAAAACATAGCCATTTCCATCCAAGGTCAACTTTGCCTGAGGGCAAAGACACTCTAATTGCAAATACTATTTCAATATGTAATAGAACATTTTTTTTTTATGCTATTTGATATCTGTAATCATGGTAATTTCAATTTCCATATTTGTTTGTATTGAAAGAAGTTATAAGAAATAAACGATGAGAAACCCTGACAATTTAAAGATCTTTAATGTTTTCTTCTTATTAATTAAAAGTTTTGAATAGAAAACGAACATAAAAGAAAATCATTTTTTGTGGAAAGAACACAACTTAAGGAAAAAAAAATTATGATTGAATTAACATGTTCCTTAAGGCCAAAATACAACATTTCGATAACTTCTGGTTTTTACGTAAGGAAACTGTTTATCCAAATTAAATGCATTAGGAAAATTTGTTAAAAAGGTATGGCTATTGTTCTATTTGCTCAAAAGTGAATTTCAAAAGACATTTCACTGAGTAGTTTACTTTAATTGGTTTCATTTAAGCCCTCTGGTTAATCTGTTTGCAGTGAGCTAATAAGATATATACAGAAAAAACGGTTCATCACCTGAATTAGGGTCATAGTTACTGTAAAGAGTTCAAATTGTTGTATTAAGTAATTGCTTTGTTATAATTAGTGTCCTTGCAATTTCTTGTAGATGTTGAATTTACAATAGTAATCATTATTTTTAATTATTATTTTTCATTTAATAGAAACAAAAGCAGTGTGATCTGGATTGTACAGGTATAGTTATGTGTTTTTGTATTTTACTATTTTTTTCATGGATAAAATAATACTCCAAGTTAAGAATGAATCAACATGGCATCTCAGTGATTTTTCCTTATCTGTCTGAATTAAACAAACCACTAACGGTGTCAACCCCCATGCATACCTTAGCGGTATATGACACAATCTATTAAAATTTTCGGTTGTCATGCTCTTTGAGTTTCGTATTTAACTTTGTTTATTATTTAACTGTTTTGATTTCAGTGCAATATTTGACATTGATTTAGACTAAATGTGATTCCCCATTCACAGGGCACCTACATCTTTTCATTACACAGTGCATGTTCTACAAAAATGGGAATGATATATATAAATTCCTTGTTTTTGTAATTAAAAATCTTACTTGTGAAGAATTGCTAGCTGTGATTCCAACAATAAGTACATCTATTAGTTGACATCATAATGCTTAACATATACATATAGACTATGCCCCCAGAGGCTTATGTGGCAGGGATCAATAAAACTTATTTTGGATTCATATTTAAACAGACTCGGTATTCCTATTGATTCTTAGTGTGCATCTTTACATTTGTCATTTCATGGCCTTTTATAGCTGACTATGCGGTATGGGCTTTGCTCATTGTTGAATGCCGTACGGTGGCCTATAGTTGTTAATTTCTTTGTCAATTGGTCTCTTGTGAAGAGTTGTCTCATTGGCAATCATACCACATCTTCTTTTTTATATTCCTACAGGCCGATTTGTTATTGTAATCATCATGATCATATGAAACAGAATTCAAACAACTTATTTCAAAGACAAAAAGAAAATCATCTTGCAATGTTCATTTATTTGCCTTTCAGATATATGGATGATGTCCAGTCACTCAGTAACTACATTTCAGTGAGTGCTTGCATCTCACATATCCAAATGAACTTGAAATCAAAATTATAACGAAAGTTGTAGATCTGCTTTACATCTTGATATTTTCCTGAATATTGGCCAAAAATGGCAACTTCTGAACTAAAATCTATAACAAATTTGAAATAGGCTACTTTGAATGTTTTAGCTGTTACAAATACACTTTGCCCAATTATATGACGTTCACATTTCTGAATTATTACGTTGCGTTTGTTACGTTGCCACTGTGTGGACATCCTCGCCCAAAAAATGCTTGAAGAGAGAGGAAGTACAACTAAAGTGGACACTTCATTAGTTTTTTGATGACCATCACAAATTGGTTGACGGATAAAATATGTCTTTATCTATATATACTCACTAGGAAAATGTTTTTGCAGTTAAAGATCTTTTGATACCAGAATAGAAGAGGGACGAAAGATACCAGAGGGACTGTCAAACTCATAGATCGAAAACAAACTGGCAACGCCATGGCCAAAAATAAAAAGACAAACAGACAAATAATAGTACAGATGACACAACATAGAAAACTAAAGACTAAGCAACACGAACCCCACCAAAAACTGGGGGTGATCTCAGGTGCTCCGGAAGGGTAAGCAGATCCTGCTCCACATGTGGCACCCGTCATGTTGCTTATGTAATAGTCGTCAATTGTGACATTTTGACTGAGTGTGGATTCACATGGTAGGTGATACATATATAACAGGTGACGCTTGGCTATTGACGCACCCTATATGTCTGCTGGTGGACTGTTGGTCAAAAATGGTATTATCGGCTCAGTAGTCAGTGCTTTGTTACTTACATGATTTTTTACCAACATCATCAGACGCATGAAATTTATCAACTGTTAAAGTAATTTCCATTCGTTCCTCTACTTTGTTTTTAATCAGTAGATATGATGATCTTCTCATCCTGTAAAGGATGTATTTTCGCAAAATACATTGGAGGGAACCAGAAAGAAGCTTTCTTCTGAGAAACCTGTCTTATTTATGAAATAAATTTCTGCTTTAAATGAGAGTTAACAGTTGATTGCCGGTGTTGAGTTCTAGGGAAAAAATCGCAGACACTCAAAGTGGAACAAAACTAGATGTGTGAAAAGAGAAAGCGTCTCCTACTATTTATGCATAATTGACCAGTCAACATTTCACAATAGATTAGGAAACAATCGGTAATTTACAGTTCAGAAAACTTATCTTGATTTTAAATATGTAATTCCGTGCAAATAAGTCTCCTGTTATTAGCAACACAGACACTTCCTGGTTATCAACAAACTTTGTAATGGTGACTTGATCTTGTAATTTGTAAACCATTTTGTACTATAGAAAGAATAGTAATAAGATTTAGTTGAATATTTAGGGGAGTGGGTTATATGTATAGCTCTTTATTATGATTTATGAACAGTTAGCTTAAGTTAGTATTAAGTATGATATTTTTAAGGCCTCCACCGTAGCGGAGGGGGCATTAAGTTTTACCCTTGTCCGTCTGTACGACCGTCCGTCCATACGTTGGTTCTCTAACTTTAGTTTGCTTTAACCAAATGTGATGAAACTTATACAAAATGCTTATTACTACAAAACACAGATCAAGTTTGAATTTTGGTGGCGTCACTTTTACCATTATAGAGTTATGCCCTTTACAAATGGAAAAATTGCTGAATTTTTTGTTTCAATTCTCTAACTTAAGTTTGCCTCAACCAAATGTCATGAAACATATACACAATGCTTATTACCACAAAACTCAGATCAAGTATGAATTTGGGTTGCGTCACTTTTATCATTCTGGAGTTATGTCCCTTTATAACATTATATGCATTTGGGGGCATCATCTGTGTCCCATGGACACATTCCATATTTATTTTTATCTCCCTTAATTTTCTCTGAAAAAGCCTGTACCAAGTCTGTTTTCAATATTTCCCGTTGGTTGATATAGTTTAACATTTTATTTTGTCAGGTTTTAGGGACTACACACCTTTTAGATTTTACCTCAGGATTCTTGTTAGTAATTTTGTATTGTAAGGATTTCTAAAGAATGATATTTTTTTTACTTATGTTTTTTAAAATGACTAAAATGTATTGATGGTTTACAGTTTTTACCGTGAAATAATTTTGCCCCTGATTGGAGAATTTTGAACAAATATTTCACTCTACCAGAAACATATATATATATACATACAGAGATTGGCAACCTATCGATACGGCTATAACCGAGCTGTCAAGATCACGCGTGTGCACGAGATTTCTCGAGACTAGTAAATCTGCCAAGATTTCCCGCCATTTTGTTTATTTACACACAGCTATATCTTACAGAAACAACCTAATAATAATAGAATACAACTTATATCTACATGATTCAGGTAAGAATCAATTAACATAATGTAGGAACATAATTTACTGTTATGTTCAGCTATTCTTAGTAACATTTAATCAATTTAAAGGCAAATTTTTGTCCCGATTCAAGTAGTCCAAATTTCATTGAATTTCAGGTTCATTACTCGATATGGGTCCTGACTTTTGGAACAAATTTCAAGAAAACTAGGCAGTATAATGAAGTTGTAATTGTGGCTAACAATGACATCTTAGGTGTTAAAAACAGTTTCTAATATTTGGACAGGGATTGTCCTGAATTAATGTATCATTGGGTAAAAATGCGACTTGAAATGTCTTGAAATGGCCCCTTGTGGACAGTACTCAGCACAATCTCGACCTACTGAATTCTCACTTGTAATGAAATGCCACCCTAAAACAATTTTTATACGGAATGCTTGACATCATACATTATGAAAAAGACATGTCTCTAAAAAATATATTATTCATGGTATATTATCCTCCCTTGTCTTTTTCCACATCTGCCATTGCCTTAAGAACCCTAATACATGTCAGAAAAGCATATTGTTTATCATATTTGTCTTTTTGTTTTATTGCTTTTTACTTAAACATGTTAAATCAGACGGTAACTTTTCTTGTTTAAATTGTTTTACTTCAGAATTTGTCATTTCAGGTCTTTTTTAACTTATTAAGAACAAGGATGTATAACTAACATATAATATACTTCTTTGCTAAGCAACATTGGTTTTTCTTAGTTTTGAAGGCCATATGGTAACTTCCTGTTGCTATTTTCTAGGTCATTTGGTCTCTAGTGGAGAGTTGTCTTATTGGCAACCATACAACATCTGATGTTATCACTATTTATGGTACCCATCAAATTAACAAATAAATGTTTACATTTGTATATATAGATGAACAAAACTGTAAATGTGGACATGGTCTTGAAAGTACCGTGTAAAGTGCTATATAAATGGAAGATAAATTAGTTTTTAATGATTTAATTTTTTTTTCAGAATGCTGAAAAAAGACCAATTGTCAAGAAGAAGAAAGACTCTTAAGATAAAAGGCATAAATGAAATGATCATCTAGATGATATAGTGGAGTACCCTTTTCTGACCACAGTTACAGTGTCCTCAATGAATCCGATGACAATCTAGATGATACTAATGCTTCAATTAATATGCAGTGCACAGTTAAAAGTGACTGAAGTTATAAACAATATTGAAACTAATACTGAAGAGTACAATTCACCCAGTGATCAGATGGACGCCATTGCTAACTTTGATTTTTTTTATACGACCGCAAAAAAATTTTGTGGTCGTATATTGGTATATGACGTTGGCGTCGTCGTCTTCGTCTTCGTCTTCGTCGTCCGAAGACACATTGGTTTTTGCACTGTAACTTTAGTTTAAGTGAATGGATCTCTATGAAATTTTACCATAAGGTTCAATACCACAAAAGGAAGGTTGGGATTGATTTTGTGGGTTTTGGTACCAACAGTTAAGGAATTAGGGGCCAAAAATAAGCATTTTTGTAACTTCAAGACATAACTTGTGTTTTAGTGTATGGATCTTTCTGACATTGTACCACAAGGTTCCATATCACAAAGGGAATGCTGGGATTGATTTTGGGGAAATTGTCTCAAAATTTTAGGAATTAGGGGCCAAAAAAGGGGCAAAAAACAAGCATTTTTCTAGTTTCATGACAATTACTTGTGTATAAGTGTATGGATCTTTATGAAATTGTACTACAAGGTTTCATATCACAAAGGGAGAGCT